GGGACCTCCCCGGCCCCGGCCGCGCCCGCGCGCGTCGGGCGCGGGGCGCGCCCAGCGGGTGACGCGCTCAGCGGCTGAGGAGACGGGTTTGGCCGAGCCGTCTGTTGTTGAGGAGGACACGCCATGCGTTGGGGAGGCGTCTCTGGATCGTCACGCCAGGTCGGGAGGACTCAGGGCACCAGGGTGTGAGTGGTTGTGGCCGGTCGCTCCTCTCGTCTTCTTTGCCGGGCGGGTGGGCGAGAGGTTGGAAAGGGGGTGTGGTTCAGTGGGCGATGACGTCCAGCTGGCGGGGTGTGCTGGGCGCCGGAACCAAAGGTTACTTGGGCGCGAACTCGTGGGCGAAAGCCGTATTCGAATCCACGTCCTCGCGGGCCGGGCCCCTGGGCCGCTACCCTGCGGATGCGGGGCGTTTTTTCGCGGATGCCCCGCGCGGAGCGTATCCGTGCGACCGCATATCCGCGGGATCGTGCCCTTCAATCCAGATCGCGAGGGCGCGGATTCGGATATGTTCGCCGCTCGTGACGGACCGAGGTCGTCCTGTTCGACTACAACGCGTCGCGCCATGTGAAGAAGCAGTGCCCCGCGCCCTGGCAGTGTGGGGTGCACTGCCCGACAGAGAGACTCCGATGCAGTCGGAGGGTGTCGTTTGGGGTCGATCCTCCCCTCCTTTCTGTCGAATTCAACTCCCGGGAGGTTGAATTCATCATCGACGCTGGTACATCCGTGATCGAAGCACGCCCAACCCAGCATAGTCCCGCTTGGTCCAGTTTGTTGCGAAGGCCTTACGGCCGGTGCCGCCGACCCTGAAGGGAGACGACGGCGACGACGACGACGACGACGACGACGACGACGATCACGACGACGATCACGACGACGACGACGACGCTGTTTTGGGGCCCTCTTGGAGGCCTCTTGGAGGCCTCTTGGGCCGTCTTGGGGCGATCTTGGGGGCCTCTTGCGCCGTTTTGGAGCGGCGGGAAGTGGAAAAGGCGAGAACACCAACTGGAAATCAATACATTTAGCCTCTTGGGGCCCTCTCGGGAGTGCTCTTGGAGGCGTCTTGGGGCGTCTTGGAGGCCTCCTGGGCAGTATGGATGGCGCGAAGGCGTTTTGGACCGATCATTTGGCGATTGGGGACCCTCTTGGACCGTCTCGGCGGCCACTCTTGGTCTGTCTTGGTACTTTTTGAGGCCCCAGGGCCCCCAGGGGGGGATTGGTATCTGACCCCCCCTCCCAGACAACCCCCGGGGCCCTCTCCTCCCGGACGGGGGAGGGATCAAAGGGAAGGGGCTTCCCTTCGACTCGATTACCCGATTATTCTCGACAAGCTTGAGGAGGAGGGTGCAGGGAAAGGAGACGACGGAGACGACGACTGACAGAAACGACGACTCGAACAGACAAGCCTCTCACACACGCCGACACGGTCGGCGGATTCTGGCTTAAGTTTGTCTGATCAAGCCTGATCCAGCTTGGTCCAGGGCCTAATCAGGGCTAATCCGGCCTGGTGGCTCTTCATCGGGCTTGATCGCCCTGACTGGTTCTTACGAAGACCTCCCAGGAGTTGCTTTCTAACCTTCCTCCCCCTCCGCCCGCCTTCCTCCCAATCTTCCGTGTGCCTTCTGTGCCCTCCTCTTAAACTCTTGTCTTCACCCTCGAGAGAGAGAGAGAGAGGCAGAGATACTGTTTTTTTTGTATCCTCTGGCGCGTAACGGTCGTTACCTGGGCCACCCACCCATCCTCCCCTCCCCAGGTAATGGTAAGGATCGTACGGACGGGGGGGTGGACCCCCCCACATGCTGGTGCTCGCGCGCATACTGAGGCGATCGCAGCGCACTCCCGCCCTGACGTGCCGCACCCCGCCTAAGCGTTGCCGTTGTCCGGAGCCCCAACCCCTCCCCCCGCGACGCCCCTCCCCGGGTAACGACCGTAATCCAGGGCCCCAACTCCCCTTTCCCTTTCCCCCCCAGGCAACGACCGTTATCCAGAAACAAAATAAAACAATCTATCTCTCAGGCGAGGGGGGGCGGGCCACGAGGGTGCGCGACGGCTTGGTTTTTGTAAAACATTTGCCTTGCCTCGGCCTGCGGTTCACATAAGCGATGTGGCCTGGCAGGAGCACCCTTCGGGCCTGAGAGGCCACCTTCCCCAGCACCACCACTTCGACGGGCAGCATGGAAGGGGAGGCAGACAATTCAATGGAGGGGCAAGGAAACAATGGGTCGGAGGGCGCGAAATGGTGGGGGATCTTCCAGAACACCGGGGCAAAACGCAAAGCAAAGCAAATCTGGCGTTTTTGGGTATGTCCCTGTTCTTGATGAACATTGGTGAGGTGGTGGTGAGCGGTTCGGCCCCCAAAGGTGACGCCGCAGCGGCAAGGGTCGACCCGTCGCTCGAATGGGCGGGGTGCGTAAGAGATTCAGCTCTCACTGGTTGTAGGTGTAAAGGTGGGGGGCGGCGCACATGAGAACTGACGTGGCCAGGCACAATCAGCTGGCAGGGGAATCAATCCCGTTCGCGGCTTAAGGGAGGAAAGCCGCGTGGATGCCAATGGTGCCACATTGGAAATTGTAAAGGTGTGGAAGTTTGAAAGGGAGGGGGGAGGGAGGAGGGAAGAGGGAGGAGTAGGTGGGATGAGGGATGAGCGAGAGATTGAGAAGGGATGGAGGCGGGATGGAGCAGGGATGGAGAAAGGAGGAGGAGGAGGAGGCAGGAGCAGGAGGAGGAGGAGGAAGAGGAGGAGGAGGAGGAGGCAGGAGCATGAGGACGACGGCCCCGCCGCAGCCGCCCGCGGAGGTACGACACCGCCTCCTCCTCGAGGCGGGCCGGCCCGGGATGGCCCTGCCCATGCGTTGTCACTGGGCCTCTGCCCGCTTATGCCTCCCAAGCGGGAGCAAAAAACACATCAAATCTTCGACCTTCGAATAAACGGGAAAGGTGGAGGATGAGGAGGAGGAGGAGGAGGAGGAAATGATGATGAAGATGATGCTGCGATGATGATGATGATGATGATGATGATGATGATGATGATGATGATGATGATGATGATGATGATGATGATGATGATGATGATGGTGGTGATGATGATGATGACGATAATGCTGCTGCTGCTGCTGATGATGATGATGATGATGATGATGATGATGACGGTGATCTGCTGCTGCTGCTGATGCTGATGATGCTGCTGCTGACGATGATACTGAGGCTGCTGCAGATGATGGTGGACCAGCATCATCTGCTGCTGCAGATGATGCTGGTGCATCGTCAGCATCATCATCACCACTGGTGATGATGATGATGCTGACGATGCTGCTGTTGCTGCTGATGATGATGCTGATGCTGCTGATGATTATGATGATGCTGCTGATGATGATACTGATGTTGTCGTTGATGCTGATGCTGCTGATGATGATGAGGATGATCTGCTGCTGCTGATAATGATGACGACGATGATGATGATGAGGATGATTATCATTACGATGATGAGGATGCTGCTGATGATGATGATTACGCTGCTGCTGATGATGACGATGATGATGATGACGATGCCGATTATGGTGATGCTGCTGATGATGCTGCTGATGATGAGGAGGACGATGATTATGATGACGATATGATGATGATGCTGATTATGATGATGATGGTGATGGTGATGGTGATGATGATGATGATGATGATGATGGTGATGGGATGGTGATGGTGATGAGGATGATGAGGATGATGAGGATGATGATGACGATGATGATGATAATGCTGCTGATGATGATGATGACGACGACGACGACGACGATGATGATGATGATGATGATGATGATGATGATGATGATGATGATGATGTTGATGTTGATGTTGATGATGATGATGATGATGATGATGATGATGATGATGATGATGATGATGATGATGATGATGATGATGATAATGATGACGATGCTGATGATGATTATGATGATGATGATGATCTGCTGCTGCTGCTGATGATGACGATGATGAGGAGGAGGAGGATACATATGAGAACGAGGAGGTCTTGGGAGGCTCGAGGATTCGAGTGCTTTTTGTTTCCCACGGGCCTCCAAAGTGGTGCCGGGGAGGACTTGGGGGCGCCAGTAGGGGGGACCGACACGTCTCGGGGTGCGACAGGGAGGAGTTGTTCATAAGGAGAGGGATGGAAGAGGAGGAGGAGGAGGAGGAGGAGGAGGAGGAGGAGGAGGAGGAGGAGGAGGAGGAGGAGGAGGAGGAGGGGGAAGAGGAGGTCCTTCTCCCTCCTCTCTCTTCTTCTCTCTCCTTCCTTCCTCCTGTTTTCGCCACCTGTCCTTGTCCGTGAGATGGGCCGCAGTGCTATGCGCGGCTCGGATGGTGACAAAGATCAGGAGTCCGAGGCCGAGTTATTGTTCGGTTGATGCCATGTTCGACGTCTTGAGGGCAAACCCATACCATACCATACCGTCATCCTTCCTTCCCCATTGCCTACCCCTCTTCCCCCCTCCTTCGCTCCCTCTCCCCTCGACGTCCTGGAGGTGGTGTCGCGCCCTCCCCGCGCATCTATTCTCGCACGAGCAGGATCTGCTGGCCGATCTTGCTGTCGGGTGTGCGAATTACTTTCCTTTCTGGCCGTGCCATTGCGACAGCTCTGGGTTGCGTTGTGTGATCTCATGGAGCCGTCCAAGCAGAAATGAAGGATTGAGAAGGAATGGAGGAGGGACGGAGGAGGGATTGAGGAGGGATGGGGGAGGAGAAGGAGAATGAGGAGGAGGAGGAGGAGAGGAGGAGAAGGAGCGGCAGCAGCAGCAGCAGCAGCAGCACCAGCAGCAGCAGCAGCAACAGCAGCAGCGGCGGCTGGCGCTATTCTACCGAAGCCCTAGAGGTTCGAGATTGCCCACTGCAGCTACCGCTTCTTCGAGATCCTGGGCCGCGTGCTGGCGCGCCTCCGCGCGCGCGGCGTCGCCGCAGAGATTTGCGGCGCGAGGCTCGATGATCGAGGCTTCGAGAGTCTTCCCTGGTAGCCTTTCGCCAGCGGATTCTGACAGAGGTGGAAGAGGAGACCACAGAAGAGCCCCACAGGGGGGACGCGGAGCCCAAGGCCACCTCCCTAGACTTAAGTCGGGCCTGTCCCTCTACAGGAGGAATCAAAAACTGTTACAACATAGTCAGGGGACATTTTTTCTTCTTTCCGACCATTTTGGAGTTTTTTGGGATATTTTCAATTTTTCGTTCAAACCCCCCTGTAGGGGGACAGGCCCGACCTAACCCTAGACCGCCCAGCCTGGCAATCGTTCCGCCGGAGACTTTCTCACAAATTACTCAGGGATCGTGTTCTCGCCTCAGTGCCGGCTGCACTCTTTTTTCCGAACGGCCACGATCCGTTGTAACAAATACACTGCGGTGCACCTGGTCGTGCTCCCTACCTGTCCCGGCCACGATCCCTTATACAAAAATACACTATGTTGCACATGGCGGTGCTCTCACTCCCGTCCCGGCTGTATCTTTTCCAGGACTCCCTAGGAGTATTTGGGAATGCACGTTTTCATGAGCCGACCTACCTCCTGCTCCTCTTGACCCGCCTCTTCACCTTCGCTTCTATCAGGGTTTTTGTTAATGATTGTTTTCTCTGCGCAGTGCTTGCGCTCAGGGTTTTTTCTCCTTCTTTTGTAAGCCGTTGGCTTGCTCTTCTGGGTTTTCGCCCGGTGCCCTCCCGTGGGCGCCTCGTGGGATCCCCCGTGCGCTGGCTGGCTTTTCCGTGTGTTCGGAGTGCGTCTCGAGGGTTTCGCGGGCTGGGTTTTTTGGAGGCACATGGATTGCATGCTATGGATTCTGTTACCTCGGAAGAGTTAGAACCTACCCCCCTGCCGAGGACAGACTTACCCGCTCCGCTCCGCGTACGGTGTGTTGCATATTGCTCTATACGATCGCTCACTTTAACGGCAGGGCCAGCCAGTCTACCGTCGCTCCCCCCTCACCCCCTCATCCCTGTCAAATAGTACCATGCGGCGCACACCTGTTGATGGACCATGTGCGTTTGGTCAGAATCCTTATCGAACATGCCTACGGCGAATCACCGCCGCCCCCTGCTTTTCGGAATCGCCCATGTGGCCGAGCGTTGTGGCAAGAACTCTGCCAAGTTGTCGGGCCATGTGTTCCCCCAGCCGTTGTAGAAACCCCTCGGGGAACACTTGGGGGAGGATGGCGGGGAAGATCCGGAGGAGGAGGACGAGGAGGCGCATCTTGGGAGCCTCTGGGGCACTCTTGGGGCCTCCTGGGAGCTTCCTGGGAGCCTCTTAGAGGCAACATGGGGGCCTCACTGGGCCTCTTGGGGGTCTTGGGGGGCTTCTCGGGGGCCTCTTTGGCCGTCTTAAGGTATTCCTGGCCCGTCTGACGCCGTTGGAAGCCGTCTTGGAGGCCTCTCTGGGCCGATTTGGAGCCCTCTTGGGGTGTTCCAGGGCTGCCTTGGAGGCCAGTTTTGGCGTCTTAAACCAATTCTTAAGCCACCTCCTGGATTCCAGAATCCCCCTCACACGCAGGTGATGAAGTCATCAAGGGGCTCGACAACGCGATAGTGAAAGCCCGAGCCTCAATGGAGAAGAACTTCGCCGACAAGATTGCAGCTCCGTTGGACCCAGAATTTTCATGGACCTGCCTTGGCGACGCCATACGCAGCAGCCTGCAGAAACTCGTCGAGGACCCCGCCATGGGGGTGGTCATGTACACCGTCTCTGGCCTACACCCCCACCAATTCTCCATGGCCGACACACCAAGACAGCCGGGCCTATTTGACCGTAAGGCGTGGAGTCACCTAGGGTTCTGCTGCGACGTAGAACTGGGCATAGACGCCAGCAATTTTGTCTACAACTCGACGTGGGCAGCCCTGGTATGGTTTCTCGGGCTGGGCACCCCCTGGAACGACAAGAGCTTAATTAGCCGTCCCCGACGAGTCGCTCCCACCCCTGCCCAGGGTGAAGGGCCTCAGCCACCGCCCGAAGGGCGCCAGCCGTTGCACCCCCCTCGAGGTCCTACACCAGTTCCCAGGGGCATGGAACACGGAGACGGGGAGATGCAGGAGGCACCGCGCACACCCAGGAATGCAGCACCTGAAGTCCCTTCTCCGCGCGGGCCAAGACTCAGAGCTGAGACGCTCCCTTCTCAGCAGCGACGGCCGCCCCCTGGACACCCCCACGCTCAGAGTCCTCCTCGTCGTCATGATGATCCAGCTGCGCGAGCCTCGTGCGACACTCTGGCCCTTCCCACATCCAGAGGCCACTGGCAACATCGTAGAAGCAGCCGTGGGTATCTGCTTCCCTTGGCAGAACGTCCACCTCGAGTACAGGGCCTCCTTCGCAAGCGCATGAGGCTTCACCTGAGTGCTCTGACCACCCTACACGGGAAATTCGAGGACGCCATCAAGCACATCAGCACGCTCGCCACGTACGCGCACCACCACAAGGTTGCAGCCGAGCACGGGTGCCCAAGAAACTGGGCCGGCATGCTGACAAGCAAGTTCCCCCGGAGGCCCCTATGAGGGTGCTGGAGGCGCTAGTCCAACCGGCCGTGGTCAGTTCCCTGGGCAAGAGCAAGTGCTCCATCTGCACCCTCCACAAGGAGCTCAGCGGGTCAGAGGAAGGGCTCGGGTGCCCAGGCGCAATGACAGACTTGGAGTACATCGGAGGAGGCATTGCCATGTCCAACAGGCGGCTCGACGACGACTCCCCCGCTTCCCCGGCCCCCGGAACTCTTCTTATCCCGCTAAGGGTGAACGACGACAGGTTCCGCGTCGATCTTGAAGACGGCCGCTTCGATTGCGACGGGGACGACTGTCGCAAAAAAGGGATCAAGTCCACGGCAGGCACCTGGGAAGACGACGACACTAGGGACCTTCTCGCGCAGAACCGCTCCCAGGCTTACTTACAAGGCAAGCACTGCAAGTGGGTGTGCGAGCAGTGCTGGGTCAAATCCGTGGAAAAGAGAGGCATCGAGGCCCCCCTCGCCCCATGCGATTGCGGCAACAAAAGGTCACTACCACTGCGTCTGCAGGCCTACGAGAGCACAATGGAGGAGCCACGTCGCAGAAAGAAGTCACGCACACTCCCGTCCTTGGCTCGGCTCCCGATCGGATTCGGGCGTCCAGATGCGGCCCCGACCCCCGCCTGCCTGTGCGACCTCGTCATGAAAGCCCCCCACAGCTCACAGCCCCCGTGCTACTGGCACTGCCCTACCTGCTCACAAGCTGTCAGACGGGAGGTTCGGGCTCGAGTCACACCTTGCCGGCACCTACTCCGCCCGGTGCGACACCTGCCCAGCAGGATCACCCTTGTTGGAGTGGGCGGTGACCAGCCCAGCATCAGGCTGCTTCTTGTGGAACCGTGAGCCCGAAGCATCCACCGACGCCGAGACCGGGCTACCGCCTTGGGACCTCATGCCCACCCTCTGGACCCAGCGGCAGTGGAACGCTGGTTGGGCTTGCAGGCGGTGCCTCATCCACATCTGGAACGTGGCCCCAGGCGCGCTGGACTACATACTTGACCAACACTCCTCACGCGTGTGCCCCACGGCGCCAGCCAAGCGGTCAGCGTCGGCGGAGGTGAGGGCGGAGCGCCACGACATCGCCGTCTACCTCGCTCCGGACTGCGCCGACGCTGCAGCCGCAGATGCCTACGCAAAGCCTGCCACCCCAACCGGAGTGTCGTCGCTGCCTACCAGCGCTGGCCTGACTGGCCCCGACGGGGAGAGCAACGGGCAAGAAGCTGCCGCTCGGGACATCAAGTCCCTGTTCCCTTACATCTCCCCGCCTGCTGGGCCCGCCCTACCAGCCCACTCCACTTCTGGGCTCGCAGGGCAGGACTCGCGCGGCGCCCTGAGCTCATTGGTTAAGTATCTACTAGAGTGGAACCCCACCATGTACGGGACATGGGTGGAGTACGTGGACCAATGCGGCGACGGAATGCCGGGCGATCAGACACACGAAGGGTCCTGGCCCCCCCAATGTCTTCGCCAATTCCTGGTCAACATCTACGGGGATACGATCCCCGATAACTGCCACCCCCTGACATCCCATGGGGCAGCCAAAGAGCTGCGGCGGCACGGGTCGTGTACCACCTACCGAGGGCCAACGTGATGCATGCGAGCAAGTGGCGAGCATGCGCTGCCGACCTCGCCGAGCAGCGGGGCGAGTGCCCTCTCCGCCAACGGCTCAGCACCTTATTGCAATACCTCATGGGAATGGGCCCCGCGACCCTCGCCGACGGCGCCATCGGAGAACTGGCCAACCGAGATCCAGTTCAGACTGACGCGGACTACGCAACTGCGGCCATCTCTCCAGCGGTATATTGGCTGAACAGGGCAGACGAGGCAGCAGACGCCCCCCCGGCAGACAGCCAGGCTCCTGAGCAGGAGGCGACTACAGGCCGCCCTCCCAGGGCAGATGCGCAGACCCCTGGCGGCGACGGGGCCAACGGCCCTCCAGCGGAAGGGCAAGGCTCGTGCGAGCAGGCAGGCAAGATCGAGGGCGAGCCGGATGCGCCTGACTGGGGGGGAGACGCAGGAAGCGTAGCCGCCGCAACCAAGGAAGCGAGCCTGGTCGCGAGCCCGGAACCAGCCGCGGGCGAATGCGAAGAGGAAGGCCCCTTCGATCCCATAGGTGCTTTCAAAGAACGCGCCTCCAAGGGGCAAATCCTCGGCCCCTACTGACAGACCGTCGACTGGGTTGCCGCCCTGGCACTTCGGAGGTCCAAAGATAGGTCTGAGAAGGGAGGCAGTTCAGCTTGGGATATCACGGGGGCCAGGGGCGACCGCGCCCTCAGCCGCGCGGCAGGGGGCAGGGGGCGCGACCGGCCCGCGTCAGAAGACACCGAAGACGGAGAAGGGCGCGCCGCCAAATCACCAAGGGGCTGAGCGACCCCATGGGTCGCGGCCCCATGTGCAGATGCACCATTGCAGCTGCAGACGTGGAAAGGAACGAGCCCATCCAGGACAAGATTACGCGCCTGCAAAAGACGCTGGGAGGCGCTTTCAATGGCATCTGGCACGCGTGGGCTAAACGGGCTGCCCTGAGACAGGACCCCAAGGGAGGCCACAAGAGCAACCCCAAACCGAACGCGCCCCAGACGTGCGCAGATTTCCTCGAGGCTAGGAGCAACGCAGGCCATGATGCATATCGGATGGATCGTGACCTCGGGCTCGGCGTAAACTGCGCCGACGCCCGCGCGCACGCCCCGCGCGACTACGGCAGCAGCGACAAGCCTGCCCCATGGGCAACCGAGGGCCGAGCTGTCGCTCCCGCAGCTGCACAGGACCCTTGGGCTGGAGCCATCGGTGCAGCCACCCCCGGCCAGTGGCAGGGCTGGCAGGAATAGACCTCGTGGGATCGTCGTGATGCCCCATGGACGGACTCAGAGTGGAAAGGAAGGGGCAAGCGGTACTCCCCTAGAGGGGGCGACCGCTACTCTGGCAAGCGCGTCCGCTGGTGGGCAAAATATGACGCCAACGCCCGAGGCTGACTTGTGCCGGACACGGCGCGCCTCAGTGTCCCTTGTAACGACCTGCCCAAGGAAACCTGTCCCCCTCTCTTCGACTCCCGCTTGCCCCGAAGGGGCCAGTTTCACCTCGCCGCGCCCGGCTCAGGCCATAATGCCTGGGGTCACCCTCCGCTGGGGCGAAGGCTAACCCCGCGTCTCACCCACGGCGCGGCATAGCTAGACAGCCCACACTGGACAAGTGGACCACCATCCTTCTTTTCGGGCCTGACGCGGAGGGGCCCCCCCTCCAGCGCCCGGCACCTCGCCCTCCCGGGCACGGCGGGGCCAGCCTGGCCCGCGCAGACAAGCCCCCCGGGCTCGTGCACTTTGCTGTCCGACGACGACAGCCAACCCGCGCGCCGGAGGCGGGGGGTTGGCCTCTGCATCCCCCCCGCCTGCTTGGCTGCGGGCTCGACCTAGCCAGGTCGCAGTTTTGGCAACTATAGACTTGTGCGGCGGTTAGCTGCGACCCTGGAGGACCAACGCCCACCATCCCCGTAGAGGCATCAGACTCCGCGGTGACAGGCCAACGTCCAGCGCGGCCTGAGGTCCACGTTGGACCCCGCCCTCCCACTGCCTTAACAACCTGTGGAGGACCCACCCACCGGTACTTATTCTTGAGCGGCGGTTAGCTGCGACCCTGGAGGATTCAATAGAATGACCATGTCCCCTGACCCACGGGTTCGGGGCCAGGCCGAGGGGAGGGGCGTTGCTTCCCCCCGCCTCTCCCCTCTGGAGCCAGGCGGGTGCCCCCCGCCCTTGGCCGCGGGGCCCGCCAGGCGTACTGTCCGACGCAGGTGTTGCTGTCCCCCCCCTCCCAGGGCCGCCCGTGCCCCTCGCTGCGCGTGGTATGGCTCATCACTTTCAGCGGCGGTTAGCTGCGACCCTGGAGGGCCGCGTGGTGTGTGTTGGCGTTCCCTGGGTCTTGGGCGGAAGTGTCAAGAGTCGGACAGGGTTAGGACTTGGCGTCCTTGGCCCTCGTGTCTACCACTGCGCAGCTCCCCCCAGGCGCATCGCACTATGGCATCGGTACGCCTCGCTCGCATAGGCGCCGCGTGCCCCGGGAGGTACAGCCAGGTCTGTCCTCTTGGGGATTTGCCTGCCCCTGGTTTAGTTTGGCCTTCAAGGCAACACTACCACCAGCGCAGCTTCCCTTTTCTCTTCCCCGCTGGCGATGCTCGCCACGCCAGCTGCCCCCCCCCCCCCCCTTCACTCAAAGGCCTGACGCCGTGCCGGCACGCACTGCGTGGCCCACTGTCGCTCGGTTCCCCCTTGCGCTGTGGGGTGGTCTGTCCGGTGTTGGCATCGTTACGGTGTGGTTCAGCCTTCCGCAGTAGGTGCAGCACTCCAGGCTCGCCATCTGCTTTCCCCAGTTGCACTGCCACCAGTGCAGCCCCCCTTGCACTTCCCCGCTGGCGATGCTCATCACGCCACCTGGTCTTCCTCCCCTCGCTCTGAGGCCTGACGCCGTGCCGGTACGCACTGCGTGGCACCCAGTCGCTTGGTTCCCCCTTGCACTGTGGGATGGTCTGACGGGTGTTGGCATCGCCACGGAGTGGTTCAGCCTTCCGCAGCAGCTACAGCACCTTAGTCTCACCATCAGCTTTCCCCAGTTGCGTTGCATCGCGGTTCGCGACAGCTCAGCCCCCCTGGCTAGCTCACGTCGTCACGGCGTTTGGAGCCTGGCGCCCCATGGCGACTCACTCCACCGGCCTCCCGCTTGCCCCCACTCAGATCGACGGACTTGGTTATCCTGGTTCTCGACTCATACTGTGTGGGTCGTGCCATGGCAGACACCGAATTCCATGACATTTTGTCCTGTGCACGTGCTCGAGCTCTCAGGATGCCCCCCCGCCGTCAGCTCCCCTTCAGCTTCGCGGCTGCTGTGTGAGTGGGCCGGCCGGTCTGTGCGCCTGTTGTAGCTAATTTTCCTCGCTCGCGCCCCGGACTTTGCTTTCGCCGCCTAACCCTTGTCTCGTGGCCGCGACCAAAAAAGTATCCCCACCATACCTTGCAGAAGCGATGCCCATGGTCCCATGAGAGTTGGCGGGGTCAGAGAGGAAGAGACACGCACAGTCAAACAACGAGGGAGGCTTGGGAGGCTTCGTGGCCATCTCGAGCCGTCTTGGAGCTGTCTCGGGGCCGCTTGGAGCATCTTGGAAGCCATCTTGAGCCAGCTTGGGCTATCTGAGCCATCTCGGAGGTCATCTTGGGCTCTCTGAGGCCGCTCGGGGCCTCTTGGAGGCCTCTCGGGTGCCTCTTAGAGGCTCTTGGGGCGCTCTTTGGGCCCTCTTGGGAGCCTCTTGGGAGCCCTGGAGGGACTCTTGGATCTTGGAGGCGGCCAGTCAAACGAGGGGGGGTACTCGATGTTCGTCCCCCCCTCGGGGGCCACGATCTTCGTGATGGGTGTCAGACATTTGCCATTCCAGGGGCCGAAAAAGGACCCTCTGACACCTCGCAGCCCCTCTCGAAAAAAATCTCAGGGAGGGGAGGGGGAGGGTTCCCCTCCCCGAGGGGAAGAGGGGTTGTGGTAGAGGAAAGAGACCCTCCTTAGACCACCTGTGGGTTCAATTAGGCTACCCCCGTCAGAGGCCGAATCATCGCCTCTTGGGGCTCTGTTGGGGCGCTTTTAGGGCGGTTTTGGGGCCGTTTCGGGGCGCTCTTGGGCACCTCATGGGGCTGTCTTGGGCGAACTTGGAGCCATGAGGCCTCAGAAGCCAAGGCGCACCAGTGTTTTCCATGTGTTTTCGGAGGATTTTGGTCTCGGGGAGGTCCTTGTGAAGCTCCGTGGCCGTTTTGGACCGTCTTGGGACTGTCTTGAGGCCTCTTGGAGTCATGTTGGGGACTATCTTGTGGCATGGTATGATATGTGGAACCACCTCCCCCGCCTGCCGTCGAGACCCAGGGCGAGAGTGGTAGGGGGATAGGTAGGCCTCCTCCCGAAATGCAAGGAGGTTGGAATAACTAACTTGCTAAACCACCTACGCCCAGAGGGCTGTTGGGATTCGTACGTGAGATTGTACCGTGCCTTTAGTCCGTTGAGCCAGCGAGTTGTCTTCTCGTTATTGGGCCTAATGTTTCTGGGCAGTGTTGACATGGCTTCGGGATCCTTGCTGTCCAGCCGTTATGTTGTACATGAAAGGAAGACATGAGATGGTGCATATCCGATGCTTTCGAGTGGGCTCTCCCCCAATGCCACATCATGAGGGGCCCAGAAATATTTGCTCATGCGCACTGGCTTGACATGTGTTGACATCTGCAATGCTCCCTGAGTGCGCTCAGGTTCTCGTCGCCTACATTTCCCTCGCTGTACGCGCTCTGGCCGTCGGGAAGATGGCCGTGGTGATTCTGGAGATTTGCCCCTTCCCGTTCTTACCAGTCAGCCTGATCATCCGGATGCATGTGTGGATTTCTCTTGGAACGCGAATTGTTTGAGCGTTATCTAGTTTCGGGGCTGCGGCCCCGCTTTCGAAGGCTTTGCCCTGCCGATGTGGGAGCGTGTGCAGGATGCTAGACATCCTGCTTGCACGCGCGCCCACACGATCATCGGCGACGTCTCCGGGAGGGAGTGCAGAAGAGCCGTCAAGGTGCATGTGGGCATTGAAGGGCAAAGGAAGAGGAGTCGGGTCCCACTGGGAGATTTCAGGCGCTATATATGGGACACATTTCTCTGTTTGCTCAGGGAGCTGAGGCTCGTTTAGTGCAAGCATGCCACTGCCTGGATGCAACCATGTATGTCGATGCGCACGTGTTTACGTACATAGATACACAGGTGTGTGTATACAATTATATACACATCTATATCTATATCTATATATATATATATATACATATGTATGTATACATATATATAGATCTACATTCAGCTGCCTCCAGCACGTCCTGCTGCCATGCAGCGCTCTTTTCGATTTCTCCGATGGTTCCGATTTCGATTCGAGTCGACTTCGGATTCCGATGTGTATTCCGACTTCTCAATGGAGGCCTACTAGCCTGTCGAATTCAGCCGATTCGACTTTTCCCGACTCGGCTGCCGATTTCGCCAATCGGATTCATTTCGACCGCCGATCCGACTTATCAATTGGATTCTGCGCTCTCCTGACCATGCCAGCTCACTGTTCTAGGGGACACGAGATGCCGTCTCCAGGATTGGGGTAGCCGTGATGGAGATGATCAGGATGAACGCGATGATGGTGATGCTAAAGATGAGGATGGTGTATGTGGTTGTGGTGATGATTCTGATGCTGATGATGATTATGGTAATGGTAGTGGTGGTGGTGGTGATGACGATGATGATGACGACGACGATAATGATGATGCTGCTGATGATGCTGATTATGATGATGCTGCTGCTGATGATAATGATGATGCTGATGCCGCTGAGGATGCTTCTGCTGCTGATGATGATGGTGGAGGTGGTGGTGATGATGCTGCTGCTGCTGCTTCTGCTACTGCTGCTGCTGAGTATGATTGAGGCAGCTGCTGCTGTTGCTGCTGCTGAGGATGATGCTGATTATGATGCTGTTGCTGATGCTGCTGCTGATGCTGCTGCTGATGATCATGATGATCATATGATCATGATGATCATGATGATCATGATGATCATGATGATGCTGATACTAATGATGATGTTGATGATGCTGATGATCATGCTAATGATGATGATGATGATGATGATGCTGATGCTCATGCTGATGATGATGACGATGATGATAATACTGATGACGATGATGTTGCTGATGATGCTGATGCTGATGCTGATGCTGATGATGATGACGATGACGTCGATGATGATGATGATGATGATGATGATGATGATGGTGATGGTGATGGTGATGGTGATGATGGTGATGATGATGATGATGATGATGATGATGATGATGATGATGATGATGATGATGATGACAATGATGATGATGATGATGATGATGATGATGATGATGATGATGATGATGATGATGATGATGATGATGATGATGATTCTGATCATGCTGGGGATGAGGAGGAAGATGATGATGAGGATGAGGAGGAGGAGGAGGAGGAGGACGACCGTCACATGGAACACCTTTAGTCTACACTTTCTGAGGAGCTCTCATGGAACCCGTTTGGGCCGTCTTGAGGCAGTGTTGGGGTCTTTTGGGACCCTCTTGGTCCGCCTTGGGACCCTCTCACGCCGTCTTGGGGCTCTTTTGGGCTGTCTTGGGGCCCTCTTGGTCGTATGGTGGGTGTGTAGAGGCCGTTGTGAAGCCGTCTTGGCACCGTCTTGGGCTGGCGAAGGGCCTTTAAGGTCGTCTTGGGTCCCGCGGGATGCCCTCTTGAGGCCGTCTTGGACGCCTCTTGGACCATCGTGGGGTCCTTCTGGACCATCTTGGGCCCCTCTTGGGTGCCTCTCAGGCTGTCATGGGGCCGTCGTGGAGGTTTCCTGGGTCGTCTTGAGCTGACGGAAGTCTGACGAGGCGAGAATGCAACTCACATTCGAAACCAGAAGGCACTATCGATTTTGGCTTCTTCGGGCCCTGTAGGCAATTTTGGCGGCATCTTGGGCCGTCTTGAGGCCATATTGGGCCGCCTGAGGGTCATCTTGGGCAGTCATCGAGGCATCTTGGGCCATCTTGGTGTCCTTGGTTGCCTGCATGGGCTGTCTTGGACGCTTGGGGCGCAAATCCATTGTTTTTTTAAACGATGGATCGTAGCCTCGGGAGCTCGGATCCACCGTTTTTCGCAATGGATCGTGGCCTCGTGAGGGGAGCGGGGTGCATGTGGTACTCTGTGGCTGGGAGGGGAGGGGGTCTGCCCCTTCAAGGATTGCAGAAAACTTGCCAGCCCGCACTTCGCATTCTTCCACGTCGTTGCCAGGGGACACGAGGGCAGATCTACCCACAACATAGAAGCATTGGACAATTGTGCTGGGCGCGTGAGCCTCACCAACACCATCGATACGTGCGGCGCGATGACATGCCATACGTAAAAAGGTTTGATCTTTTTTCAGGGATCGATCGGCGAAGGCTGTGCAAGGCGGACGAGCTGGGAGGCGAGCGGATGTGTTAGGTGAATGTGTGGGGTGGGTGGGGGGTACGGACGCGATGCTCAATCACGGCTGCCTTTGTATCCCCGCTTTTGCGGCCCACCCCGAGCCTTGGCTGACGTCCAAGGGGGCTCTCAGAGGCAATTGGGACTTCCAAGGGTCTTGCATTCTCACCTTCCATCCTTACTATGGTCTTCGACTGTTGATGCTGCTGCTGATGATGATGCTGATGATGCTACTGATGATGATGATGACTATGATGCTGCTGCTGATGATGATGATGATGATGGTGATAATGATGAGGAGGATGAGGGTGCTGATGATGATGATGGTGATGCTGATGATGATGATGCTGATCTGATGTTGCTGATGATGATGATGATGCTGCTGCTGATGATGATGATGATGATGATGATGATGATGATGATCATGATGATGATGATGACTGTATGGGAAGGGATGGTGGGGTTGAACAGGGAGGATGCGATGGGGGCGGCACGGCGGCGGCGGCGCTCTGGCGCCGCGGCGCGCTCGTGGGCGTTTTTCCTCGTTGGGGCCTCGTTGGGGCCTCTTTTGGGGCCTCTTTGAGGAGGCGGATGCGGAGGAGGAGGAGACGGAGGAGAGCGAGGAGAAGGATGAGGAGTAGGAGGAGGAGGAGGAGGGACGCAGGATGATGCGAATGGTGATGCTTATGATGACTATGATGCTGCTGCGGCTGATGCTTATGCTGATGCGGCTGCTGATGATGACGATGCTGTTGTTGCTGATGATGGTGAGGATGATGAGTGTAGGAACGGCTGATTCAAGTTGATGGTGATGATTCTGATGCTGATTTGGTCGACAAGATGATGATGCTGGTGCCGCTGCTGATGATGCTGTTGATACTGGTGGCGATGATGGTGCTGGTGGTGATGACGAGGATGCTGATGACAATGATGATGATGCGGATGATGGCGTTATATCGATGTTGTTGCCA